AGAAGGAGGGAGGGTGTTGGGGAGGTCTGGAGAAAGAGGAGGGAGGGCTTCTCAGAGAAGAGAACATGGAAGATGGGGCTTTGAGGGATGAATAGTTTTCCCCAGGCTAAGGTGTGATGCTGGCTCTACTGGCATGGCTGTAAGGGAATGAGGAGAAGGAGGAAGATGGCTGGAGAGGCACATAGGAGTTCAGAGCTAAAGATTTAGAGGATATCACACCAGGTTGGACCTGAGCTCACGCCGGGTTGGGACCCTTCAACCCTAAAAAAGAATATTCTAAGAACTTTGCTCTGGATCGAAACCACATGCCCAAACACTCAAGAATAAATGTGTTTATAACAGTGAACGTTATTAAGCTCCTGGGGCCATGCCCTCTTCACTCAAGGACTCGTTGGATTCTTACTGGAAACCTCAGAAGTGAGCAGCATTCTTACGCACATTTAATAGATGGAGGAACGAAGGCACAGAGAGGGAGACTGGCTTCTTTAAGGTCACACTGCTGGTGTTAACATAAAAAACATTCAAACCTGTAAAGAATTTTTGTGAGTTTATTTGAGCCAAACTGTCGACAATTGCTGGGAAGCAGAACCTCAACTAATTGAGATAATGCTCCGGAGAATGGTGGGTTTTCCTCTATTTTTATACACTGCAATCAAAGGAGGGATGTAGGTGGGTTACATGAAATCCATTGGAGAGAGAGTAGAGAGGCGGGAGAAAGCAAAGCGGGGAAACCCCTGGGATTGGATAAAAAGTAAAATGACAAACACATACTTAGGTGGATACAGGAACAATTAACATGATAACAATGAAGGAATGTGTGGTATCTGTCCCCAGGGGCTCCAGAAAAAGGGAAGTTACAAGTTACCCAAACATTTCAAGGATATGTCATCATAGATGCAAAAAGACAGATAGGCTCAGTTAAGGTAAAGGTTGACCTTGTCAGTGAAGATACCGGCCTAGGAGGTGACTACCCACCATAACTGCTTTTAGCTAAGGTTTAATTTCAGACCATCCTTTGTGGTTACTTTAGGTCTTGAGTTTGCCAGACTGCCATGCAGGCCTTCCCTGAGCTTGTCAGGTTAGCCTGTGGCCCGCACTGGTAAGAGGCAGCAGGGCTGGGAATCACTTTCTGGCTCATGTGACTCTGGAGACAACCAAGGACCAAAACTGGAGCCTAGGGATCCATTTCTTCTGGAAGCATTTACTGCGTTCCTGCTGCAGATCGGGCTTGCTCTAGGTGCTGGAGTAAAGCTGTATAAGAGGTGGGCAGTAGGCAAATCGTGCTATAACAGATCTAGGTGGCCATGGTGACCCACGCCATGTGGTTGGGCACGTGGCTTTGGGGAAGAATGACAGACTTCCCCTGATCGGATAGGACAGGAACCCTCCAGGGAGCAGAGAGCATTTAGCCTTAGCTCAAAGGTTGGGTCAGATTTAACCAGACAGAGGTCGTAAGTTCACTCGGCAAAGTGCTTCCCTAGAGCCAAACAAGCCCTTTTAGTTCCTTTTTGGTCCCTCCAATGACAAGTTGCTCATTCCCTCATGTCCTTCTTCAACCCGAAGGGAAAGCTGTTGCTTCTAGTCAGCCTCTCTGCCCTGCAAGGAGAAGGGGCCTCAGTCTGTGTCTATATCCAGGGGAGAGTGAGGAGCTACTGGTGTCAGCTGGATCCTCCCTGCCTCCTCCCCCACCTCAGCCCCGTGAGCATCAGCCCATTCTCCAGGTGAGAAAACCGAAGTCCGAACTGACAAAGCCACTCCCTCAGTTTGGACTTGACTAAGACGATATCAGGTTAGGGCTGCTCAAGGCCAGCACTATCCCCAGCCCCTCCTAGAGCCTGAGGGGAACCCAGGAAAGGATTCACCTCCCTACTTTCTCTCCTGCTGCTGCCGTCTGCCCTCACAAGGAGGAAATTTGGCCTGGGCCCCTCCCCACAGAAAGGCCAAGTGGCCCTTAGCTACTGAGCCGGAGCAGCCCGGCATTCAGCACACCCTGGGTGACTTCCAGAAGCCTTGGCCCTGCCGGCACCTTTCCAGTTACTTTTTTTTTTTTTTATTTATATTTTTGGTAATAAGGAAAAGTCACTCTGCACAGAACAGACGGCATTCTCTTTGTTCATGCATTTTGTGGCTTCGGGCCTGAGAGCAAAGCCAAATCTTTTGCTGGTGCAGATGCCTTTGTGAAGTTAGAAGCAGAGTCTGTGCTTCCATTTCCCCAGCGAGCCTGGGGGTCCAGGATGTGCCCGCCCGCCAGGAGTGCCCAGATCTGGCCACAGTTGAACAAATAAACAGGTAACACACATCAGGGATATCACAGAAAGGGAGGGGGGCCTGGGGCATGATAGGGTGAGATCCTTTCCAAGCCCAGGTTGGTCTGAGAAGCTTCTAGAAGGAGAGCGACCGTGGAGCCCAGCCTGGAAGGACAAGGCAGATATGAGTCTGAAGGAAGGGTATGCCTGGTGGAGGGAACAGCATGGGCAAAGTCCTGGAGGGAGTAAACTCAGATCTTGGCCTGAGAATAAGTCTCCAGAATTCACCTAACGGCAGTTTGAAGGTAGGTACTAGCTCAGATATGTGATTCTTGACAGGGGAACAGAAATAAAAGAAGAGGGAAAGGAGATGTGACAGAGAAGACGAAAAGCAAAACCTCTGAGTGGTCAGAAAGCTTAACTGTGGCGAGGCGCAGAGCTTCAGGCATGCAATGGCGTTCTGTGACTTGGGGCGGGGGGGGGGGCGGGGGAGGGGATCACCATGTATATGAACATGCGATCCTGACATGTATGTGCAGGGGTGCACTGCCTCTGACCAGAGGAGCAATCCAGTCATGCGGACCTCCAGCTGACTCGCCCATGTGGTGGGAACTGGACACCGACATTCATTGCCTCCGCCCTGGATTCCGGGACCCTAACACACACCATCCAGCCGTCGTTGGCTTTGTCACAGTTGTCTTGCTACATAGTTTCAGTTCTCTGTCTGCCCGTCTCCTGTGTCTCTGCCTCTCCCTCCAGTCTCTCTGTCTCTGGGTCTGGGTCAATGTCTCTCCCTTACCCCAACCTCCTTACTCACCCTTACTCCCAG